ATTATTGTTGCTTTTCCACAATAAATTTTCATTTAAAAAACGGCCTCGAGCTCAATATAAATTGTTGAATATACAACTTTATAGGAAAATTTTTGTTGAAAACAGAGATGCAAAGCTGCGAGGGTTTTCTCAACGTCGTCTTACACAACCGTATTCGTTTCACAGAGATACTAAATTCAGACATCGCGGCATAAAGACAACTTCTTTGAACATTTTAACCAATTTTTGAGTATGCCGTCTGGTCCCGGAGATTTATAAAGCTTCAAAAAGATTTTGTCGCCCAGTCTTAACTATTTGATTTTTCGTTCCATGAGTATTCAACTCCTGTGATATTACCCTACAGTTAGGAAAGTGAGTCCTTGAAATGAGCGAATCCGCTGCGGCGGCGAGGAGCTGATAAGCTACATCCATCAGCTCTTATGCAAATTACGGTCAAATAAACGCATGTCCGACGACTGGAATTTAAGTGTACTCTGCCTAATCCACATGAAAGGTGACCCAGAATTTCGCATCAACTACCGCGGGATCAGTCTTCTAAGCATAGGTTACAAGGTCTCATCGAGCGTATTGTGTGAAAGACTGAAGCCCACCGTCAACGAACTGATTGGGCCTTATCAGTGTGGCTTTAGACCTGGCAAGTACACCATAGATCAGGTATTATGCACACCATCTATTTGTCGATTTCAAACCCGCTTCCAACAGCACGTAAAGAAGTTGTCTTTATGCCGCGGAAGAGAGCACAATTGTTGGCGTATATCGACGACACCGACATCATCGGTAAAAACTATGGCTACGTCCGTTCTGTCTTTTCGGAATTAGATACAGAAGCAAAGCGAATGTCGGCAGATAAACAATCAGAACGTAATCGTCTCGGTACCCATGTTACTTTTGACGGTTTCACGTTTGAAAAAGTAGACGACATTGTTTATTTAGGAACCAACATTAAGTCCAATAACAATGTCAGCCTTGAAGTCCTATGCACAATCTTGTGCTTCCATAATTACTCATTATGCTTAAGCATGACAACTTGGAGTTTTCGAGAGAAAGATTCTGCGAACGATTTGCGGACCTTTGCACTTTGGCATTGCCGATGGCGAATACCGCAGACGATTTAACAAGGAGCTGTATGAGCTTAACAATGATATAGATATAGTGCAGCGAATTAAAATTCAACGGCTCCGTTGGCTGTCATGTCGCTCATATGGACAGAAACATTCCAGCTGTGAAAGTATTCAATGCAGGTCGCGATGGAGGTCTTGTCTGCGTTGGAAAGACCAAGTGAGTGAGGTCTTGGCTTCACTTGGCACTTCCAATTGGCGTCAGTTGGCACAGAAGAGAAACTACTGGCGTACTCTTTTGGACTGGGCCAAAATCGCTTAGGCGGTTACAGCGCCAATTAAGAAGAAGAGAGTGGACATTTACGCACAGCGTAGCTAACGCTTATTTCGTTTCCACCAAAAAATGTGGCCTTTTGATTGCACCTTTCTCTTTTCGTGCTCGATCTAAAATAAAGGCAAACGATGAAAAAATTGTTTGTTCGTTTCTTAAGATCTCACACTCTTGTACGGCAAAAAACGCACATTCTCTACCCTTTGAAGCTTTGTCAGGCGAGATGGTTGCCCTGAAAATCAGGCGGTTGCTTAAAACAGCAATATTATGTAATGCGTGAGCTAGACAAGGACAAGAAGACAAAAACATGCCCTTTTGCAGGGTCGAGTGCAACATCAAAGTCATTTTGCACCGGGAAAGAGCAACATTTTTTGGAAGACACGAAATCACCATAAATAATTTTGGGAATTTTTATTTTTGGATTTGATATTTAGTTTTTACCTGTGGTGTCGTCTTCGCAGGAATGACCCATATATTCATATCAGCCGGGATGGCAAAATAAAATAAAATAATCGATTAAATAATCTTATTATTAAAACAATTGCAATTATTGAGAAGTAATCGAATTTTTAAATAATCGAATTTTTATAGTGAGTATTCACAAAAACGCTTTTCCATACATATTTTTCTAATTCTCTTGTTAATTAGCCTTAAATAAAATAAAACGAGTAGTTTTAGCGACGATATTTATTTATTATTTAACCAAGTTTGCAAAAACAAAAGTTTGATAAGCGTTTTGTTTTTAAGCAATTGCTTTTGAAAAAAGGCGCTCAGCAGGCACCAAGGTAGAAACTACATGACAGTATTTTTTCGAAAGTCTTGAATAAACAGTTTTCGCTTTAGTTCTAGGACTTGACAATTTAAATAAAAACTCATTTCATCTTGTGGGTTACCCAAATCATCATCTTTTCGCCTTTCGTACAAGAGATTTATGATTCTAGTGACGGCTCGCTACCCGTTTCCATAAGATCATCTGCGCACATTATTTCATTTCGGAAGAACTTCATTTATAAGGCCAATGCTAACGGATCTTTGAAATGTATTTTTGTGAACCTCGGGTCGAGTAAAGTTGACGCAGCTAGCAAAAAAGAGTGTTCGATGGATGGATTTTAGACAACTACAGAATTCATATGTATTGGAAATTTTTTTACGATAATTTTACAACTAATCGATTAATGAAACACAAAGCTACGATACAATTAAATCGTAAATTGGACAAAAATAATCGATTAATTTAATCAAATGATGAATCGTTGCCAGCCCTACATATCAGTATACATATACACTCTGATTTAAATAAATGTATAAACATTTTCGAAGTCAATTTTTACATTTGGATCTTGATTTTATTTGAATTTAAAATACAACTTATGCTTTACGGAATGGACTATCGGCAAAAAGTGACTATCGACACAATCACAGTGGCCACTATCGATAGTTTGCCAGCATCAACTCAACTCAACTGCCAGCTTACAGTTAGCCACCGGCAAAGCAATTCAAATTCGGTTGCCATCCGTAATTGACCATATTTCTTATTTAAATGCATACTTATATAAACGTATAATATATTATCTATGGCTACCGATATGTTGTCATCATTATAAACATAACTAATTTGAATCCCACACAAGCAAGGACAGTGATGTCTTAGGCTATGCCGAAGTAACATCAGACAATTTTACTTCAACCGATTACTGCTTTTTAAATTACCTAGTTTTTTGGGAGATAACCAAAATGTTTATATTCACAGCGTGCATAGATAGAGGAGTTATATAAAAAAACTCATATTTGAGTAATCACTGGTATGGAAGATACGCCTTATAAAGCACCGATCTAAAGCGCTACGGAGACGATCAAATATCTTTATCAACTCTTTAAGTGTATCGGTGTCGTCGGCTTTTGTCGGCTACACGTACACTACACCGACTTGTTGTCGGCTATGCTTGATGAAAATCAAAAAATTTTGATATTTGAATTTGATGACTGTTTATTTGACCGTCTCGCGTTATGCTTGACAAAAAACAAGCTCACTTGCCCTCTGGGCGTCGTGGTGAGAAAGTGCGCGGACAAGAAAAAGAAATTGTTTTACGTTTGATTGCTCATTATCAATGCTTACTAGCTTTATGAAATGTAATAAATATTAATTTATAACATATAACATATAAAATTATGCCATTAATGATATAATAATTAACAACAAATACTCATCCGATGACATCGTGCTAACAAACGAACACTGCGTATTCACAATACAAAGTAGTGATTGACGCGTTTATTTGAACGTTTGCGGGCAAGACACGAGCGAACCTCACTCACACATACGCAATGCTTGACGTATTTTTTTGATGGTCTCCGTGGCGCTTAAATGTTTCTAACTACTGTGAATGATCGATATGTAAACCGTTCACAGAATTTAATGGTTTTAGCTGCCTACATAAAAGAGTTATATCGCAAAAATGTGTATCTGAACAATCAATGTTATGAGAGATATAGCTTATACAGCACCGATCTTGGCGATTTTCTCAGTAGACTTTGTATGCTTTTTTAGAAAATAGCTCACGAAATTGTAAGTATTTTCATGGGTCTATCTCTTCTTTTTCTGGTACATACAAACATCGTACCAAAGTCATAATACCATTTCATGTTCATGAAAGGTGTAAAAATTAAGAAAAGTATCAAAAACCTACTGATTATTTACGATTTTTATTATTCCCCGCTTTCAACTTAAGTATACCGCTTGTTTTACTGTTTTACTCAAATGGTTTCGAAATCCCGCTTCGCTCATACCACTGGCAATGCGGGTACATACTTACATATGAAATTTCGAAAAAAAAATCCTGGACACCCTAATATACCTAATATATGTATGCACATTGGATCACGTAAAAAAAATAAAAATCCTGCAATGCGACCGGAATAAGGCTTAAATTTTAGCATTTGATATATGATCATCCATGAATCTCACCTCTCTAGGACAATTGTAAGAGGTGCCGCCGCGAGCCTTTAGTTTTCACATAGGAATTACACGTAAGAAAATGAATTCTTTCATTTTGAGGTCAATATAATTTTCTAGGATCAATTAAAACGTTTTAAACTGTAAGAATACATTGATTACATGCCATTTAATTATTATGCAGACTCAGATTATTTAAATTCCTAAATTATCATTTTTAAATCCCTTGTCCTATTCGGGTCAAATCTAGTGTATACCAATTTTTATTTATTCTTATTTCTTTTTTGAATTTAAGGAATCTGAGCATGCACAATACTCAAATGGCATGTTATCGATGTATTCTTGCAGTTTCGACCATTTTCATTGATCTTAGAAACCTATATTGACCTCAAAAGGAAAGAAATCATTTTCTTTCATGTAATTCCTATGGGAAATCTAAAGGCTCGAGGAGGCACCTCTCACAATTGTCCTAGAGAATTGAGATTCATGTAGGATAATAACTATACCAAATGCTAAGCCTTGAGTCTTATTCCGGTCGCATTGCAGAGTTTTTATTTTTTTTTTTGACGTGGTCTAATGTACATACATAAATTTTCATACATACATGGCATGTACAGCCAGTTTCGGTTTACCTCGTTTTTAGTTATTCGATGCCTTGCTAGTTTCACCACTGCAAAATTTCCCTTGCCAATCGTTCTTTCAATATCGTAAAATCCAACTCTTATTGGTTCTTTTGGTTTTAGTACACCTTTCGAAGACAACGAATGCATAGCCATTGCATCTGGGGCGACATCTTCATGAACAAATATGGCCTTTGTATGTACAGTGCTTGTGTTTTCAAGCGTGTTCGTATTTGACGTCCCTGCTTTAAGCGGCACTTCTCCAGTAATGCCTTTGTCTAAAACAGAAAGAAATAAGTTGTTAAAATAAAGTACACCGTCTTACTCCAGTCGGATGGAACTAGATACTCACATGCACATGTCGCACATTAAATTAAATACAGAATTATTTCAAAATTTCAATTCTGTGGGAAAACGCAATCAATTTTTGATCAATTCATACATTTGGTATACCAAAACATAGATGGAAAGACACATATACTCGCCATTTTTTGGAAGTTTAGTCATGTATTAAGCTGAACATATTCTCGTTATCAAGCTTATTAATTGTATGATGAAATCTCCAAAAACGTAAATTTTTAATTATGTACATCTCTATATTATTAAACGTGCGATATGTACAGTAGAAACTAGTTAATTCTATTAGGTTAATTAATCATATAATGGGTACGGAATCTCAGACCCTATTTTAGTTTCCCTCTTTCCATACAAATTTATTCGGTTATCAGCAGTGCTGTCAACTATTTTCGAGCGAAAAATACAGATTTTTATAAAAACCCTGATAGAAAAAAGCTAAATTTCACAAAACAAAAGCAGAAAACACAAGTAATTTTTAAGTAAAAAACAAAACCGACTTCAATTCTCATATAAAAATATATATATATGTGTATTTCATGATCCAATGATCGGATCTAAACCAGTATTGGGAACACCTCTGAGACACTATCTTTCCGATGCAAAAAGAATTATCGAAATCGGGTGACGTGGTCCAAAGTTATGCGGTAACATACATAAAAAATAAATAAATAATAAAAAAAATATTCCGACGAGAGGTTATCAGCTCCTCCTTTTTTGGAAGTCGGATAAACATAGGTTTATATTAATATACTTTTAAGCAATTCATTTGAAATACTACTGGTAATTAAAATTAATAACACGTTTCAATAAAATTTGGTCTTATTTTATCTCAAAACCGGGGCTGCCCTAATGTTATAGATTTTTTGATGCTGATTTGAAGTGAATTTACAAAATTTTTCTACCACGTTTGAGAAAAAAAGACTGTTGAAGTACCGAAAAAAGGCAAAAATTGCGAATTTCAAAAAAATTTTAAAAATATAATTTGGACGTAGTTTTTCCGAGGAAAAATACAACCAATTAATGAAAATCTAATTCGTCTGATGGAATCAACCTCATGTCCATAAGTTGATTAGAAATGATTAAAAAATTAAAAAGACCTCGGTTCATCAATAAGCATGCACTTGTTTTCCCAAAAATACGAAAAGAGATTTCATGAGCAAATTAACATTAAAAAATCTGTATCCCAAATTCATGATTAGCCAGTCTTTTGTCTCTTAACACTTTCCTCATTCTGGAATGAAATCGTCAAACATTTTCTTTTGTGGATCGCATTATCATCGCTTTTCAAGGTCCAGCAATAGTCAGCAAGCATGTGGGGGTTTGATTTCCTATCATACTGCTTCTCCATGGTGACTTTGTCCTGGTGTAATCATTCGCCATGTTGTCCGCCACGTTGTTTTTTTATCAAGGTTTTTTTTTTAATTTTTCACCCCTTTCTACTTACTCTATCGACATAAGGTAGAATCCATTAGACGAATGGCATTTTCATTAATACGTGGTTTTTTCTTCGGAAGAACTACGTCCAAATTCTATTTCTAAAATTTTTTGAAAATTTTCGATACTTCAACAGGTTTTTTTTCAGAAACTGGACGTGCTAGAAAAATTTTGTAAATGCGCTTCAAATCAGCATCAGAAAATCTATAAGATGAGGTCAGCCCCGTGGTTGAGATAAAATACGACTAAATATTGTTGAACCGTGTAATCGAATAATACAGCTCGGATCGAAGCTCATCAGAAATGAAAAATAAGAGAGAAAGTTGTTTTCACCAAGTTGAACTCGGCTGAATAAAGTTCCAGGTCTGCATTAGACCAAGGTAGTGAAAGCAAATAAAGTGCAAATTCCGCCAGATCGGAAAACAATTGTTTGCCACCTGCATTCGTATAAGTTTGAACTCCTGCCCAAAATTGCATTGTATTACTTATAGATATTAGTCCAAGGGTTTCGACATCGATGTCATTTTATCGACAAAAAATAGCACTTGCAAGTCCAACGACACAACATTTTTTTGCGTAAATGTGTTCCTCGCAAAACTACTGTGGTCAGCGAAACTGCATTTGGACTGTTGAGGGCTATTTTTTGAGGAAAACATGACATCGACGTCGAAACCCATAATAGGGTCGATTATCTTTTTTAATTATCTGGTAATTTTAAAAACATACATACATAAATACATACAATTTCTCATTTCCTATATGGACTTCGAAAAAGCCAGATTAGACGGGAAAAGAGCTAAATTGGCAGCCCTGGTTATCAGACACTCCGCCAGTATTCATGGGTATGTAAATGAAACAAGCATTTAAATCAGTGGTCGGCAAAACTGAAAGTAGGGTTGACAGATTCTAAAAAGGAGAAAGGAGTACATTGCTATTTTGGATAGAAAAAAAGCAGTACAAAAGATAAAAGAGGAGTCCAATTTCTTTTTTTAATTTTTTGTGCAATTTATTGTTACAAATTACCATTAATTAGGTGCAAACAAACAAAGATATCTTAGAAATCTTTTTCAAAGCAATAATAAATGTTAAAAATAAATAACTAAATTCTACAAAAGAATTCCAGACTCTTCCTGAATGTGTGGTCACTTTTTTAATTTAAGCTTTATAATTAATTTAATATTTTTCTGATTTTTATACCCGAGCGCCCTGCACCTACCTGGCTACGACCATGCTTACACCTTTTCACTATCACACTTAACTTTACTTACTAAGTAGTGTTTGCCACAACATGAATAGCAAAGTATAGGGCGTAAAATAATAACTGTCGCACCGATTTTTTGAAAACTAAAAGGGTTATTTATAGATTTTGCGAAAAAAGGAATTTTTTTTGTTAACTTTGTAAATATTTCACTTGAATTTTATTATTTTCAGACTTATTTTTTCTTAGGCTTTGTATACAAAAAAAGAAAGAAAAAACTGTATAGGCTTGGTCGAATGAATGGCCTCCTAGTCACCAGTTCCGAGTCTATTCGATTGCTGAGTAGAGCTGCAAAAGTATCGATATTCGCCGTACTCGATATTTTCGATATTTAAGAGACGAAAACTCGATATATCGATATATATCGTTTATTTTTAATTCTACAATGAAACACTGAAAAAACATCTACTCATTCAAAAAATGGGTTCTATGCATTTTTTGAATGAGTAGATGTTTTTTCAGTGTTTCATTGTAGAATTAAAAATTAACGATATATATCGATATATCGAGTTTTCGTCTCTTAAATATCGAAAATTTTATTATACATAGATATGAGGTACATATGTATGTATGTATGAACAGTGACCCACACTCAAATCACACAGTGATATTACTACAGTATTCGCAATGTTTTTTCATTCTATATTTTTTTTCATTACTTTTTTATAAAAGTATAGCTCAATCTGTAACAAAAGCCATATAAACCTAAATTGTAAAATTTTTGCAAAAATTAGAAACAAATCAAAAAAGTTTCTTAAAAATTGCGAACTTTTTAATAAGAATTTCTATAAAAAAATTTGGTATGCAGATTTTTAGTCTATTAAATCAGTCACTGATGTTGTTTGGCGCAAAAATATGTAATGAGAAAATGGCTATGCCATACTCGATATCGAAAAAAATATCGATGTCGGCAAAAAAAAACCAATTACTCGATATATCGATATTGACATCGATATATTTGCAGCTCTATTGCTGAGTATGAGGTCTTATGTTGGACAAAAGGGGGAGTACAAAGGACCCACATGGAGGAAGTTAGCCTATGGTTACAGAAGATATGCAATAAAGTAACCGACGAAGACTTGCGTGCCGCTTGCGCTTTTCTCTCAAAGTGTTTTCCGCCGGTAAACCCAAATGAAGGTTAAAATTTAAAAACTAATTAATAAAATGTAAGTAAAATCTGTGGAAAATTAACAATAAACTGATTTTTTACTTGCGCTTTTCTCTCAAAGTGTTTTTCGCCGGTAAACCCAAATGAAGGTTAAAATTTAAAAACTAATTAATAAAATTTAAGTAAAATCTGTGGAAAATTAACGATAAACTACTTTTTTACTTGCGCTTTTCTCTCAAAGTGTTTTCCGCCGGTAAACCCAAATGAAGGTTAAAATTTAAAAACTAATTAATAAAATTTAAGTAAAATCTGTGGAAAATTAACGATAAACTACTTTTTTACTTGCGCTTTTTTCTCAAAGTGGTTACCGCTGGTAAACCCAAATGTTAAAATTTAAAAACGAATTAATGAAATTTAAGTAAAATCTATAAACAAAACAAAAACACACAAAAAAACAAAAACCTGTGCAACAGTTATTATTTTACACCCTGTATATGATAAAATATTAATAGCTGGAAAAAGGAGTACAAACGAAGTACAAAACTAGGAAAGGAGTACATTTCCGGATATTTTTTTTTCGGGAGTACAAGGGAGTACATTGCAGTAAAAAGGAGTACGTTTACTCCCAAAAGCTATACGTCTAGCAACCCTAACTGAAAGTGAGATTGTGTTCGTGAGCGCAGAGCATGCAGTTTGGTGTAAATGCGAATCGCATGGGGTAAAGTTAACGAATTTACGAACGCTTGTGAGGATAACAAATTTTCCTTGAAAAAATTAATGATTTTGTTTTTTCGTTACCAAATGATTATTGTATAGGGCACTGAAATTGCGCATATGGAAACTCTGCATTTAGACATGATTTCGGTTTCAACCGAAACTGTGCATGCATGCTTTATTTCGGGTTTTGCCGTATACATTATTTCGGTTTTCAACCGAAGCCGTGCATGTATGCATTACTTCGTTTTTCTCATACCCATTATTTCGGATTTCACACGAAAGTGTGCATATGCATAATTTCGGTTTTTCTAATAAGCATTATTGCGGTTTTCGTAGGCATTATTTCGGTTTTTTTCATATGCATTATTTCGTATGCACAGTTTCCATATGCACAATTTCAGGGT